TAATTTCTCTTGTCAAATTCTTTGTTTTAATCTGTTTTATAATGAATGCCGCGAAAGAGCGGCCGGTAGAGCATAGGATTCTGCCCCCACGTGTGGAGATCCGAGGTTAGTGGTGTGATTCCCAATCGAAACCTTTTGTGTTTTTCAGGAAGATGGCTTATCAGCTCCTTCCGGAAGAAGCTGTCCCGCACTTCGAGTTATGTCTGCACCAAATGACTAAGCATTCTACAACATATGATATTTCACTCTGTCTTTTGCAATATTCAAAATTGAATAAACCATGATGGTATATTTTTAGCAATCTCTCAATTAACATCGTTCTTGGTACTTTGTGTGTATATGTGTTCGCGCCCATGCGTGTAATTTCAGTAGATTAACAACATAGTAGATGCGTATGATCTTTGGACCGTAGAGTTTACCAATGACAGGAAAAAAACTCTAAGAGAGCGTCAATAGTAAGTATGATTAGAAATCGGTATGCTGACTCAGCTGTCACTTTCATAGCTGATTTAGAATAAGTATGGTAAACGATCTATGTTCTGTGAGGGTTACCATCGACGTGTAACGGTAGTTTGAGGTAATGAATGTGTTTGGTGGTCGGGATGTGTGATGTACATACTGTGCGTGGGATGTGTGAAAGGGTGATAAGACAATCCTGACAGGTGACATATCTCATGCGGTAACACAACGTTACACCGCCATGATACAATAATACTACGTTATACTACCATAGATACCAAATGTTGATGTCGGTTGATTAAGTGACATCCTTCATTCAGTATTAAAGCGTATCCCTAACCCCAGTTTTGCGTTATAATAGTTAATTGGTGTTATAGGTGGAATTAAAATGAATTGTTAAGGAATAGGAAAAATAGACTCAAACGAATTTGGAGATGTATCATATAAAGCTGTACATGGGACTGTCAGCTATCATTGTTAATGCGAGAGCCGTTATATCGAGCTGGTACTGTTTATATGAGGAACGTTATATCGTTATATAAAATCATATGAAATGAAACAATTAAGATTCTATATAAATTTCATTTCAATACAACGGTCATCTCTTTGTCCTTAGTATTGACTACAAACCTTAATATCTTTTAATTTAGAGAAAATTTGGAAAATACCCGCGAAGTGTACATTAGATATATAATTTGTTGACCAAACTGCACACCTGGAGCAACAAAAAGGAGATAAAGAATTTGTATGTGTGTAACAGCGTGATCGGTTAGTTTACTTGTCCACGTGTGCATACAAATATTACATGTGCATACATACATGATTACTGGTACATTCAACTGCAAGTTTACCTATAGTGTAGGTATACACTATTATACACACATGTATACAGGTATATAATATCTAAGGAATGATCTCAATGTCATCTCGTTTGAATTAATCCAATACAGCACTCGTGTGATAGCTGGAAACCTTGACAGGTACACGTACCTGTGTGGCGTAATACTAAGACATAGAATCGCTAGAGTGGTTCCTCAGGGGTTATCATACTTTCGGAAGGTCCGGTCATTCATTATTTATCGGCCAGAGGCTAGTTTCGTTTGACAATAGGCGTTGGCGACTGTTTGGAACGTAAACATGTGACAACTTTTTGCCCGCATCATTATTAATGGTCAAGACATGTCACATTTATCTGCCCTTCACCTTTTCTTCAGACTATGCATAGTGCAATGTTACGTAGCGCCTGCAACACAAGGCGCCACCTGGTGGAGTTGTCGACCATATTGTATTGCGTTGGACAATTTTTTGTTCAATAACAAAATCAATGTAGCAAGGGCCGTCATTCTGGAAAACTTCCAGTGGCAATGAAACCTACCATTACATTCTGACAATTACTATTTGACACTTGCTCGTAAACCAGTTTCTGATATATTTTCATTATCATTTTACATTTGCAAAATATACAGACAATAACACACGAATAGCGTTCTGGATTTTTTCCAAGTCCGTCAATGTTTTTACAGATTTTACTTTAAACTGTAAAATCATGTTTCGTGGTTTAATTTAAAAAAATCACTGTTCCCTTCACATATGATTTCGTGGATATAGATTTCTCTTTAAATGTTGTAACCATGGTAACAGCGCGTGGACATTAATAGTATCCATGAAATCAATGAAAATAAATCCTTCGTGAAAATAAGGATTTTCAAGTATGTGACTTAACCGACAGAGGTGTCCCAGGAAATACGAACGCCTTAAACCTGCTTTGATAAAAGAAACATCATTACACATGGCTTATCAGCATTTTACGACCATGTATAGATAAATGTATTATGAGCGTCGTCTGCTTGGGTTTATATATGCCCAGATCGAAATTCTTGTGATAAGTACCATGTGTGTCGTTTGAAGGGAGGCGTTGCTGCACGTGTTTTCATTGAGCAGTGCCGTGCGACCGGGGGCGATGTTGTTATTAAAATGAAATTGCACTGAAGTGTATTTTTAACTATGTATATTTCAAGATAGGTAAATAACAACATTTTTGTGAATCTATCTATCAACATTGCATGCTTGTCGAGAACTTACGTACATGAACCGCAGGTAAGATATATTCATTAATTTATAAATAATGAAATTATCACTGTCGCGAAAGTTGAGGCTGGTGCTTGCTATCACTGTTATCAGCGTCAGTGAAATACTCTTGATGACATACATCAGTGAACACGGGTACACATTACTCATGGTTCGACAGTAAACCATTCGGTTAAATCGGAGATATATATCATTGTACTGGTGAAATCATAATGTCATCTTGACAGAAATTTGAAGTTTAAGAAATACTAATTAAGATTACAACTGATCGAGAGAGAAAAATGAGATATTTTATAAAGTAATGGAGTTTAGTCAATTTTAGATCAGTAAACTCTCATCAGAAAGGAATCTGGAGTAACAATATCAGCGCGACTGTGTCAAGCTTCACTGCATTGTCCAACGATTATCACATTATGTCTGATGGCTAATTTGTATGTTAAACCTTTCTGGCGTTTATGATCTGTTGTGTTTTTTAACGTTGGTAAATAAACTAAGAGCTATCTATGAGATGCCCTTTTTATCTGGCATGTACATAAATGTCTTGTTTCCTGAGAAGTTTATTCCAGAAATATAACTATAAATAGAGCAATATGCCTCCACATGGTCAATTTATTCATAGCTTCTCTGAACGCTGTAACGGACACTGGGGCCAGCTGTTACGGTTCCTGCATACTTTCAAGGTGGACAACATTCACCAATGGGAAAAAATACAAAGGCGAGTTTTTTATGTGTCCACTGCTCGTTTCCTCGTAAAATTCCTAATGCCTTACGTTAGAGCTATGGACTAGTACAATTGGTTACGCCCGTGATGGATTTATACAATGGCCATTTACTGATGCTATTGGTTACGCCCCGTGCGGGATACTGTCCGACGGTCTCGAAGGTGGGCGTGCACGGTTTGCCATTTGGAGTTACTACTGTCCCTATAAAAATCACCCACAGAGAGTCGCGACTGGTGATTACGCTTATATATAGTTCAAAAGAATGGCGTCACCACTACGTTAATTTGGATGTCCACCGGGCCTTTTTTCCTTGCATTATTAAAAATTTTCGTCATTCGACTGTTAATTGCACAAAGATAAAAATTGTTTCATAATGCCCAGTCCTATTCTAATGTATGTTGTTGATGAGTAATGCATTACGCTCATCACGAATAGCTGCATCCAAACAAAGCCTTTACGTGACAAGGATTCAAGATCTCTTCGCAAGCTTCTCGTTGTCACGACAACGTATACAACCACTCACCTAGTGATATGGATATTCAGCGGAAAAATGGTTTCTCATTAATCCCGGCTGTTTATTCTAGGTTACATCTATCGATCCCTGTCAATATAGTTTTCACAATGTTGATAACAGATAAATTATGAAACTGGGATTATAGGAAAGTCTGTTAGAATGCACGTGCATACAGGTAAACTCTCTGTGATGATACACAGGTACGTTATAATACGGCATCGATCGAATATAGGATTTTTCACTTCATAGAATCGCAACCAAAACGACAGGGATTATAATAATTCATCTAACACTGACAAAAAGACATTCACGGCGTGATGTTCAGTATTCATTTTAAGCAGAATCCTGAATATATTAACATGCAAGTCTCGCTCAAAGGTGGGCACGAGTATATCTGTGGATTACATTATCTGCCGTTTCAAAATGACTGTAAATACACACGTCAATGTTGTAATGGCGACCAAAGTCTTGTGATGTTCCACAGAGTTATGGGAAGCATGCATCTGGTGTTTCAATTATGTTAATATACATGTACAGTGTTCAGAGCTCAACAGTTGTCAGCTTAATCTTCTATCAGTGCGCATGCACCTTTAAAGTGCTGAACTGTTATCGTTCTCGAGGCCTTTGTCCCAGAAGCATAAAGTGGTAATCTCTTATCTCATATCTATCCCTTGATGCACATTTCGTAATGAAATACATCGCAGCTACTTGCTCTTTCGGTTTCTTGGGTTTACCTAGCGTTATATGATTCCTTCTTAATATTATCATTCTTCCCCAGTGTAGAAAATGTTTCAATGTGAAAAAATCTGAAATATTTATCATTCGAAACCTCCTTGGAGTGAGTCCGTTCGGAACATTTTATGTTTAATGTTATTATCTTCTGTTCATTCGAAACATGTCATAAATTTTGAGCAAGGTACAAATTGAAAGAGGATGTTGCTGATCAAATCGCAGGAATTTAGGAACCATATCTCTCTGATTTTCTGATTATTGTCATACCTTTCTGAATATCTAAGTAGACGGGAAAATAAATATACATATGTATATATTGCAAAAAAATTACTCACAAAAAAATTCAAAACAAACAAACCAGAATAAAATTCACATATAACAACAGAATCTTGATTCCGTTCCAAAACAGATGAAACGATGACATTATAAAAGGGAAAAATTGAGACGGAAAAAAATCGAGGACTTCCAGGGGAATTAGTGCAGACCTGTTCTTGAAGCATAAACGTCTTCTGCTTCATCGACGACATCCGCCATTTCAGTTTCGGCCATTCCTATTAAGCAATGTCACGTTCACAAATGAGAACAGGGTCAACAACATGGAAGTCACACTGCCAACTAACGAGCCAATATCGAACAGTATTAAAACACGCCGCGTTTCTATTTCTGCTCGGTATGTATGCGGTTTTCTGTTATCGTCAGCAGATAAGTTGACTGACCCCTTTCAGCATGTCTGTTTGCATGTCTGCAAACGTCTGTTTCGCTTTGCAGATTTGAATCATCAATGCCTACTTTGAATCTTTGTACTGACAGCTGCCAGACTAACAATTGCTTAGAAGTAAAGTAATTTATCGCCATTAAAATTATCTTTAAAAAGAGATGCATCTTATAAGACAATATCATGTTACGTTATTAAGTGTATTTGTAAAATATATGAAATAGCGCGAACGATATCTGGCGAATGCATCCTTCAACACTCACAACACAGGGACGTAATGCAGTCATCGCGTTGTACAAAATAGACAAAATCATACAAATTGCACCTTAGAAGCAGTATACAGTAAATGCTGATTGAAACTCCATTTAATATTGCCTGTTTTGTCCTCCTCGATTCGATTAATACATATTTTGTGCCAGAAGAAACTTGTGTTGTCTGGAAATGGCTTGATTTTTCATTAATTATTTAATTTTGTTTTATCATATATACGAGGATTGATGACACCTGGAAAATAAAGCACAGAATGAAAGAGAAAAATAGAAAAGAAAGAAAAATATCAGAATTCCGTTAATTATTATAAATCCATTTGTTACTCTATATTTTATACTTGTTGTTGCATAGATTTCATACACAGACATCAAATTTGACAGAAACCACGAAAGATCCATGTTCTGGTGTGGCAGCAGAAGGTTCCGGAGAAAGATCTAATAGAAATCGTCCAGGCATGGTCTGTGGAGAAACATTCATATAATCTCTACTTCGAAACAAAACAAAAAAAAAATCTGTGAATTCCGACATTCTAGAGCGTTCAATACGGCAGCTGTTGAATACACCGACATCACTCATTGATATTATTGTCTTGTAATTATTCCTAAAGAAAGCGTTCTTACCAACTGCATTAGTTCCTCCCTCTCTTATTATTAAAGTGACACGGGGTTGTTATTTCACCTCAAAGGAGTAAATCCCCCATATTCATGATGTCATTTCCGCATCAAGCATGGCATTGATGATGATTTGTGAACGAGTTGGACGTCAACAATATGAGGATGTTAAATTCCCAGAATGCATTTTTTTCATATATTAACAAAAAATACCATGATAAATTAGGATATAAATTTACATAAATGTATGTACGTGTTGAGCATATACTGTTGTAAAGTGCTGGAAAGTTGTCATAATTGGCGGCGTTGTAGTTCACGATCAAGGAAAGCGACTGCTAAAGTAGAATTTTGTCGATTTACAATTCAGATAGATAGTCACAATGGTCATGGTCAATGAATCTCTTGTTATCTAAAAAAACATCAGCAAGTTAAATGAAATAAGTTGATGCTAAATTATTTGCTCGTTTGTTTGATGTTTTACATAAATAATATGCGAACTCAAAATATATCAATAAACTACGGGAAAGAATGTGTATGCATGCTGTAAGTAGACAAAATTGTCGCACATAACACTAATAGGTTTTCCTTTGCGCATGTCAATGTTGTACCTGTTGTGTACTCAATTTTCAGAATACTTGATCAGGTTTTAAATCCTGGAGCGCACCATGATGCAATAATCATGTACATTTAAACTGCCTTTGTGTTTTGATGAATAGTTCTACTCTTTGAAATTTTGCTGAAAGCTTGAAGCAAATCCGGAAGTTGTAAAACAGGTTTTGTGTCTTTTATTAATTTTATTTTCAAGGTAACGTTTCTTTTGATATTTTCATATAAATCACACCAGTATTAAACATACCTACTGGGTTGCTCCTACAAATTAATTTATCCTTTAGTCCAAAATTTTTTACGGGGCATAAATGAGAACGATGTTTGAACATTGTATGTAAGAATGCATTGGTTTGAGGATCTGGTTGGAATCTGCACGTGTACTCGGGAAACTGAGAATGTACTTTTCGTCAGGAAAATTCGAAATAACTTGCCTCGAGAAACTTGACTAATTAAAGTAAAAGCAACAAGGATAAAGGCAATCAGTCGTTTGTGGGAAGACAGGAGCTTCCAAGGTCATGCAAAAGTGCACATATAATTAGGATTTACTTTTACTAGCAAATGTTACTAGTTGCAGTCACGTAAGTTTGTATCAAAGTATAATAAGTAATGAATTAATGTATATCGTCGTATTATATGCAGACAAAAACTGGATGACTATTAGTGCGTTTACCAATAAGAATTTTCTATACAGCGAAGCGAATGATGATGATAAGTATCCATGAGCTACCTGCCATCTAAATTTTCCTTCTCACCACCTATTTTGAGTTTCGTCTGTAGCCTCCTAGGTATTAACTCTCTAGGCTCCTAGCATCATAACGAAGGGTCAGAGAGGACACGCGTCCTCGTTAACAGATCTGCAAGACAAGTAGCATGAGGTCAAGAAGGACGAAACCGCTATATGGGCTAACGCAATTGTTATATTTTTTTAGAGGGGGGGGGGGGGGGGGCGCTACTGTATCTAATTCTAAATTTGAACTGTAAGGTGCAATATATTGTGTTTTTTTTACAATGCTAATCAAGAATATTTCAATAAAATTTTACTCAACAGTAACAAGTTTGCACTGTATTAGATCTAGCGTTCTATTTGAAGTTAGAATTCGCACAGACAGACTGAATAAATTACTTACACTTCACAATCAACAATGCAGTTGTATGCCGTGGTTTGCAGTCTATTTGTTTAGATGTTTTTAACAAAATATGTAACTTTTCACACCTGTTATGATATTTCTGATGATTCATTTTCATTTTGAATAAGAGATTTTATTTGTAATCAAATTTTAAACTCATAATAGTATTTGACTCTCAAAGTACATCTTCGATAAGAAGATTTTATATGGTATCATCATAGATCATAATGACTTTTGTAAGTATACTATAGTAAATAGAAAACGGGTCACAATTTCCTGTCGTCGAGCTTTAAAACATTTTGACATTTAAAAAATGCCTTGTTATTTATTTTCAAAGCTACATAAAATTGAAATAGCTCGTTCTTGTAAGAAGCCCTCGTTATTTCCATGTTTGCCCTCGGCAAACTTTACACTGAGATCTGATGTTACTTGGTGCTGTGAATTTCTGAAAGGTCACCTTGAACAAATAATCTATGCTACGATCAAGGTTAAATTATACGAATTCCCTGTCGGCAGACTTCAAAATCGATGTGAACAATAAATTAACTACTTAACAGTGTCTAGCCAGTAAAAATAAACATTTGTGTCAATATTTATGTGATTTGTTGAAGCACAAAGAAAAATACCGCCATTCTTTTCATGTGTGACGTCATCAAAGTCTATATCCGGTCGGCTGTTCGGTCTGCAGATTTTGGCGATGTAAAGCAGTTCTTGTTACGAGAGTATGGCTATATCAGTGTTAGAGTTGCTGTAGAGTTTTATTTGTCTGATGAAACACTTGATGGTCAAAATCACCATCTAAATTCGTCCCCTATTTTTACGAACATTTCGGTCAGACTGAGTGTGTTAGGTTATCAAAAATCCTTAAATTTTATAGACTGATTAAACAACCAACTCCTCTCGTGAGAATGTTTACTCGAAAATTCAGACTGGAAATATTTGAAAACACCCATTCTCTCCCTCACTTTTTCCGTCTCCGACTTGCCACCGAATGTGGGAATACTGTGCTGTTTCGGAACCACTTTTTTTCTTGTCAAACATTTTGTCGACCCGGAAATAAAAAGTAAATAGAAAAACGTACTCCCGGAAATAGAAACGTTTTCCTTTCCATGACTAATTAATCAAATGCCTAGTTATATGTATAACAGGTGTTGACTGGGTGATCTGATAGCACGCATGTTTGTGACGTCACATATAAAGATTATCGTGTATATTGGAGATGCGAAGGGGAGTTGGAACGATATAAAAGTGCCTCGGTTTCAACAGGCGCACGCCTCTAATCATTGTATAGATTGTTTCTGATACTTACACGCCCCCTCTGAGATTAAATTAAATTAGAATGGGCGACAAAACATACAAATGTACCTGTGAGACCGATAAATATTGCGATAATAATCAACGGAATGCAATTACACATTTTTAGCCGAAAATCTGCAGTTCGAGTGTATGAAGTAGTAACTTCCGGTTAGTATAAAGGAACAGGGCTTCACCAGACTGTATGTAAAATGGTGTTAAGGTCTGAATGTCAAGTTTATGTTTCTTAAAAAAAATGTTTCTTGATAAAGAAACCAACAGTTTAACTGCTTACCTGTTCTATATTTTGATAGCTGTTAATAACAATATTTCAATAATTGTTGAAATAAGTATTCACATAGTTTCAATATTTTGTCATCGTCAATGACACAGATCAATTTTCAAACATGTCTTTTCCTGTAAATTAACGGGTTTACCACGTAGCGGATCTCACATTGCAACCAGGCTCAGATAGAATCAAATCGATGCATGTATTCATTTGCTATAAATGGCTCTGCTTCTCAAAGACTGGGACGCATATAGATCTCCGAGCGACACAAGTGGAGGCCATACATAGTTCATTGTATACGCTCTACATGGTTGCACAGGAAGCTACATTATGACGTAAGACTTCATCAAAGAAAACCTGTATTTTAATTAAATCTCCATTTGTAACAATTTACTTTTTCTGAAGCAGTGAATGTCTTATTTTGGCATTTAAAATCAGTATAAATGTCAGCTTTGCAGGCAAACCATATTGCGAGCTAAAAAGAAATCAATCTCTAACGGTCAATATGTTTGCCTGCAAACCTCTGGCATTCAAAGTGACCTAAATGCCACAAGACAGTACACATAAACATTGTTTACTCCTGATTCTGCCTTATGTGATTTCATCTTGATTCTAGCTCAAATAATTTCTTCATTTTCGACTATGTAATTAGTGAATTGCCCGAGTGTTGACGTCATAATGATCACGAACTGGATGAAATTTATTGTATCTTAAATCACACATTTTTGTGATTAGTTCATTCAATGGCATTGACGAGCAAATGTAAACATATTGTACAAAAGTGTGGAGAACATGTTTCGAAAAGAATCTAAAGAAAGCTGTATCTTTCCTGTGTTTTACACTTCTTGGACTTTATATGATAATCAATAACATATCAAGACTTCCCTTTGGCAAATTTTCCTACAATTGAAAACAATGGTCTTGGGAAGAAAATAAAAAATCTGGTTTTCGAAACTGAAAATATAAAAATGTCGCAAACTGTAAGAATGAGGAAGGGTTTCCACAAACCACTATATACACCCTGTCACTACCAGGAATCTGCATCACATCAGGTCTTCACTCCGGCCCCAGAGAGCTATGTATGTAATTGGTGTTGCTCACCAGTTATGTGCGAGTCTGCAGCCTGCCTGTCTGATGGAGTGTAGCTGTTTTGGCAATGGTTTGTCTTATCGTGATGGCGTTTACCGGAAGTTGATCACATTAGAGATTATACAAAAACGTCATCTATTTAGCTATGTTAGTGCTACTACTAGAGAAAAATAATAATATCTTAATAATATAATGTGTGTATCGGATCAAAAGGCAGGAAATTGAAGTGGTCAAGCAAGATACGGCTATAACTACCGGTGTCTGTTGCGTTGTTTCTATTTTGGGTTGTAGAGTGTATTCAACATTGTATTTCATTCCTTCGATATAACCTTACCAAAGTCGGTTGTGTATTACCAGCTCATGAACTGCCAGTGGAGTTAGAATATTGCAAATAATGTAAACAGTTTGAGGTTTCAGTTCCTTATAACAAGAATAACGTTTAAAATGATAACTATGATCATTGAACTGCCTATGAATGTAGACTGAAAGTTCAACACTAAAATATTTGTCACAATTTGCAGATTTTATGTACAAATGCAAAATGGTAGCTTCATGTAATTCTTCTTTCACTTTATTTTGAATAATTGAAGGAAAATATAAAAAAAATCAGGACAGAAAAATTAATCACTATATTTAGAAATTAATGCTGATGCCGCAATATAAACGACATATACGGAGTTCTCATTTCTGCAAAATTCAGACCCGAAATATACTGTAAACTTTTCAAGGCCGTAGTACCATTATCATGCAACAGGTGAGAATGGCATTTGTGTTAGTCATGCAGCATTGGCTGCAGCTAGAATTAGCAAATGTTAATCTAGTTTAGGAAATTGTAGCGAAATAATGGTTTTACAATATGGCATTCTGTTTACTGGTTTGGTTAGTTTGAACAATATGTCATGAAGACACGTCAACACAGTTGTAGCTTCAAAAGAGTAAGAAAGCAACATACGCCGTGAACAGGTTTAACAATTTGACAATGATAAACCATGACAGGTTGCTCGTATACTAGTACGCGAAGACAATTGTACATGTATAAGCAATTATGACGTCATTCCCCAGTTTGTAATCTATAAATAGCTGATATGTCTAGAAACTGGTTGCATTTATAACTAAATTAAGTCCCACACTATACAGTTCTCGGGAAAGAACGAACAGTAGGTCCGTGATACCGTTTCGGCGTTTAAAACAAATGGTATTTTGATTCATGATGCTAATATTGCCACTGTAAAAACACTAGTATATTATAGAGACGAAATTTAGTTTTACGCTAAAAGCTACGTCGATGTATTCATTCGTAATGGTTACTCCCGATGATATTCGATATCATGAAAAAAATCATCATATCTTGTTCTACTGTAAGTAAAAAGATAAACTTGAAAATCGATGGAAAGTATTTTACTCTCTGCTCAGTTATAGATACGAGAGAATCGTCAGTTCCCCTCCCTTTTTGTATTTTTTTTTTTTTTTTTTTTGTTTTGCGAAGGTTTCATAGTTATTTCATATATAGGTGACTAATTTCTATTTGTATGGGGTTGCTTCGTGATTTGATTAACATACCAAATACATTGACCGAGGACGAAATCGCCCAAGCCGCCTCCTAAGTTTATAAAAGAAATTAGGCCCTTAGCATCACTGACGAATCATAGAAGGATGAAATAGCTGTATGATGCAGCTTAATTCATGGTTTGTCTCTAGTGTGTCTAACTAAATTATTAACAGGTGCTATTCACGTGAGTGTTTTTGTACACTGTCTGAGGTTGACGGTTTTTCCGAACTTAATCAATAAAAATGTATCGACAGCCGAAAACAATAGCCAGATTTATTACTTTTATTAACAAATGATTTTTATCTTTTTTTTTATTATATAAACGAACAATAATGCATGTTCTTCTTTCTTTATAGTTACTGGGATGTGCTATTCTTGCTGTCGGAATTTGGATCCTAGTAGGAGACAACTTCAACAAGTATGTAGATGGCGCTGAGGAGTTCGGATTTCTCCACACGGGGGCGTACATCCTGATCGTGGTGGGTGTCATCATTATGGTCATCGGTTTCCTTGGATGCTGTGGTGCCATCCGGGAAAGCCAAATCATGCTTGGACTGGTACGTATGATGGCATGGCTACAACTGACCAACGGACTCATTTCAGGATTCGAAATGTTATTTTTGCTTTATCAAAGAGAAAAAAGTATTTGATCTGTTTTAATGTACACTTTTAATAGTCTCTTCATAGATTAAGCGTACTTGATACTTCATAGAATATAGACTTTGTTTGGAATATCGTATTTTTTCCGTCTAAGGCAGATCACTGCATGACGTTAAAGTCTTCTCTTTTTATTTTTTCTCGTATTAATATGATCTAAAAGAACCCCTTTGAAGGTAGATCGAGTTAATCATGATTCGAAACAGAAAATGTAGCATGGGAACTTGGTAAATAAGATGCAAAGGGCCTAATCCATGTGCGGGGAAGGGGGATAAAACGATCCAAGGGAGTCCCATTGTCTTATCTAAAATTTCTCCGTTAGAAGAATATATATCTCATTGTTATCTAAAAGGCCCTGTTAAATGCCTATATAGCATACTATTATCTAAAAGTCACCGTTGGAGGCCTACATAGCTAACAATTATCTAAAAGTCACCGTTGGAGGCCTACATAGCTAACAATTATCTAAAAGTCCCTGTTGATGGTCTATATATCTTACTATTATCTAAAAGTCCCTGTTGATGGCCTATATAGCTTACTATTATCTAAAAGTCCTTGTTGATGGCCTATATAGCTTACTATTATCTGAAAGTCCCTGCAGATGGCCTATATGTCTCACTATTATCTAAAAGTCCCTGTTGATGGCCTATATAGCATACTATTATCTAAAAGTCCCTGCAGATGGCCTATATAGCTTACTATTATCTAAAAGTCCCTGTTGATGGCCTATATAGCATACTATTATCTAAAAGTCCCTGCAGATGGCCTATATAGCTTACTATTATCTAAAAGTCACCGTTGGAGGCCTACATAGCTTACTATTATCTAAAAGTCACCGTTGGAGGCCTACATAGCTTACTATTATCTAAAAGTCACCGTTGGAGGCCTACATAGCTTACTATTATCTAAAAGTAGCTCAAGGGAATCGCGATTTATTCGAATGATGATATTGAGGTCAAGACATGTCATGAAATTGATTTGAATATATTCCATCTTCTGAATCTCATAGAAGAATTGGGTCATACTTGATATGATCAGTAAATACGGATTCTGTTATCTTAGGGCACGAAAAGGGCCATATAAAATATCAGTTTCGTATTTCTTCATGAACGATACTGTCAAATTATTATATTAATAGCTTTTATCTTTTTTCCTTTTAAATTCGTCGGCACTTTTGATCTACGAATTTATTCCGACGAAATAATATGATAAACAGTTAAATACGGATTAGAGATTTTAGTGAGTACTATTTGCTAATGGCCAATTGCCAAATAATATTTTAAACCACGAATTTCAATTGTATATTAAATGGAAATATATGATATTAATATAATCAAAATTTGCCCTCAGGAATTTGCACTGAATATTGAGACTATAGAAAATGTTTTATTACCTAGAAAATTTATATATCATATCAACTTTACAAGAACCGTACTGAATTCTTTCTGTAATCATGAACATTTTTTTTAAATACCTGGATAATTTATTTTCGGTTCTGTTTCAGTTCTTTGGGTTCCTCTTCGTCATCTTCGCGGTGTTACTTGGAGCTGGAATCTGGGCAGTGATGGCGAAAGATTCAGTAAGTGTAACACGTGACTGCAAAGTTACATTACACCCACGTGAGTTTTAAGTAACTGAAAGTGTTAAGTTAGGCTATTCTAACATAGATAATTCATAACTATATTATCCGGATCGTAGAGGGAACTTCTTTTATTTTGTGAATCTATATAATATAGACTGTTTATGCTTTCCTGAATTGGTATTGTTTTACTTTTTAATCTTCTTAATACACTGAACTCTTAAATGTTGGAATAACCTTTACAAAGAAATATAACACACCAGAGAATAAAGCTATACGTTATCAAATGAGCTTTAATTATTTTTTAATCCCTAAGATATTTTTCAACTTTTTATTTGATGTATTTTTATTCTTACTACAGTATAACTTTAAGAAATGTACAAAAGCTTACTTGTGTGGTTTAATTGGAGCGATTGCCGTTGATATTTAGCGAATATCGATTTTGTTAGCAGTTCTAATAAAAAGGACAATATCATTTTCATTTATTGAAAGTTCACCTCCCTGTGGCAGTAGGCTGATCGAGTTCCGCATCTAGGCATATAAACATTATCATTACAATTAACATTAATCCTTTAATCATTATTATCAAAATTATTATTGATAATAATGAAACCATATCCTATATCTTCGCATTTAAAAAAAAAAATCCGTTTGTGACTTTGAACATGCATACAAACAACTAAAGTTACTCATTTGAATATTTTTGAAGACATACCAATTTTTTTTGCCTCCTTTTTAAGCTAACAAAGCCCTTAGATATAGCTTACTACGGTGAATACGTTATCGACATGATTGCTAGTAAATCAATATTGTTTTACTATTGGATAAAGAGAAGCGGGGACCAGCGATTGATTACACTTTAGAGTTGAGCTCCATGTTTGTTTCAATGGACTGGTGATCATGTTAGTGAAAATTCTCGGACATCGGGCTGTCGCTCCCTAAACCATCGCCATCTTGCTTAGTAGACTCTTACCGTTCCCTGTTGATTAATATTGACCAGGATATATATCACTAACAGTCTGAAGAAGAATGTGAAATGGACACAGCAATACTGTAAAGTTATCTGTATGATCTCTTGTACTATAAACGACACGTCAATTTTTCATCATTAAACACCTCCAGCAAGGCATTTCACTGCTTTACATAGTACAGATAGGCCTGATGGCATGTAAATTTAATGGCATTGCTTAAGGATTTTGAAAATTTGAAAAAAATGAGGATTTTAAACTGTTTACAAAAGAGTGGAAGGTCTTAAAGGAGTCTAAGCCTAAGAAATGTCCCTCATCCTTAGTCCGACATCTTTCTTAAAATATCTGTTAATACTATTCAAATCCCAGGCCTCGAATTTAAGGCTTTTTACTGGCATTTGCAAGTAGAAATCAGAGAATTGCAAGTAGAAGAAATAATAACTTGCTTTTACCAGCAAGCGGATTCATCAGATGCAAACTGTGAGTGCCTGTCTTTTCCTAACATTTCACAGAAATAAACAGTTTTGAGTTTTGATTTTCATAGTGTAAATATTGGGACAAAGCAATTCTATAATGTTGATATATATTGGATAAAGCAAGGTAATACATTATAAATCACTAAACAAAACACATTATTTGAACATGGAGATTTGCGATAATAGCAAGTAAAAAGTCATTTTGGCGAGTACAAATTTAAGGCACTTGCTGTTTTCAGAAAGTGACAAAAAATGTTAAATTCGAGGCCTGAATTCCCATCGCACACAGATTTGCCTTTCCAAGCATGAAATGTCAGTAAGAAGATCTAAAAGTCAAAACACAAGTATATAGACATTAGTTACTAGTGTTGACTAGTACTATTATTTACTAACTCGCCTGTTGTACATTTTGAAGCACATTCAGTCTTCTAGCGTCGTCTAATATGATGCATATTAGTACAGTGACAGCGATTCTGCAATAACAAAACAAATATACCGATCAATAGTATTGTAGCATAACGTTTTAATGGGAAAACGCACAAAATGGAATTTCCCGATTCCAGACTTTTCAGTCTGTCTTGTTATTTAATATAGGTAAATATCAGATTATGTATTTCTGCTAATACTTCCTCCTTTCTGAAAACTGATAAAGGAAAAGCAGTGGGAAGTAAAATTTTAGATTCTCTATTTTCACTTCTGTCATGAGAGAATATCTTTATTCCAATCTTTACCCTCATTCTACGAGGTTAGACTGCTACCGCAATTAATGAAAACATATGTGATGGATGTTTTTGGTTTACATGACTTTGTTTACGTTAAGTAAATTGTCTCGACCTTCTGACAATCATTACAATCATATTCTATTTCATTGTCTTCAGCTGAAGCAGCTTGTCTCCGATGTTCTTCAGAAGAAGGTGGAACAGTCATGTCAAAATGACCAAGCATCAAAGAACTTCATGAAGATGGTCCAAGACGAGGTATTCAGAAAGACGTGTGATTTCTGTCATACCAAGAGGATTTATTTAACAAATGAAAGAGAATTACTGAATAATGTATAGTAATAAATATGGCGACAATGAAATTAATAATGTTTTGATAGCAAACATAAATTAGTTTCGTTTAATTTTCAATCATATTTTTTTATTATCTTTGTTTGAAAACATTTATCGTATAGATGCCAACAAAATGTTTGCTTTTAGTTTGAGTGCTGCGGAGCAACCTCTGGTGTGGTTGATTACCTAACTTCCAGCTGTGTCATCAACGCCAACATATTCCCTTGTGTCGCCGAATCGACCATGTCGGTACGTAGTTTTTACATCTGATACTGTAACACCTATGATGACCAATGAATATTTCTGTCGTAATGATGATCTATGTACAGAAAAGTACAATTTGTCGTTATAATGACCTATGTTTATATTTTTCGTTATGGTGATCTATGTATAAATCAGGCGTTATGTAGACTTGTGTATATTTCAGTCCTTATATAGACCTATGTATAATTCAGTCGTTATGATGACCTTTGTATCTTCCAATAGTTTCTTGTGTATATACAGTTTTAAGTAATCCTGTCTAGTCATCGTCAGACTTTGTGATAGCTTTAATTGTGGTATGTATTTATAAAAAAATACGCTCTTTATACATAGTTGGATATATTACAGGGCTGTAACGAGAAACTCTACGACTTTTTCTCGGAGAATCTTCTGATTGTTGCCGGAGTGGCCATAGGTATCGCCTTCATACTGGTAAGTATTCATTCCAACTCTACATCGAATCGAGAGTAACACATAAACAAAGAAGATTTACACAGAAATCCTTGGAAAATACAATGAGAATAATACCAGGTGATCCAGAAGAATAAGTGTATTCTGTTTATGAACAACACTTGCAATGTACTTCTTGGTCAATTCAACTTAGTGATGTGAATTTTCACCCTAAGAACAAAGTAAACAACAATAGAACCATCAGGCATACCTACGAGCATTGATCATATTTAAAATTGAACAAAAGACACATTTAAAGCTAGATAAAGTAGAGCCAAACAATGGATTAAACTGCATCATACAGCTGTTTCGCCCTTCCAGGACTTCTCAGTACTATTAAGAGCATAATTCATGTTTTAAACACTTATGACACCTTTGCACAATGGTATAACACATATATAGACATTTCAAAATAAGGTATTCTTTTATTAAATGAGTTCCTACTGATGACAATTTCTTTTTTTTTCACAGATTCTGGGAATGATATTCTCCATGGTTCTTTGTTGTGCTATCCGGGATGTGTCAGCGTAACGCTCCCACAGGTAAATAAAAGCTTCAAGTTTATCTGAAAAGTACTGCCCCAGAGGTTAATATCTTTCGTGTAAGTCATTAAATTACCACCTCGCAGGTAAAGAATCGCCTTAAAATTACAGGTACTGCACCACAGGTAAATATCTGCTGTTCTAGTTTTAAAAGTACTGCCCCACAGGTAAATATCTGCTGTTCTTAGTTAAAGGTACTGCCCCACAGGTAAATATCTGCTGTTCTTAGTTAAAGGTACTGCCCCACAGGTAAATATCTGCTGTTCTAGTTTTAAAAGTACTGCCCCACAGGTAAATATCTGCTGTTCTTAAATATATGTTGTTCTTAGTTAAAGGTACTGCCCCACAGGTAAATATATGTTGTTCTAGTTTTAAAAGTACTGCCCCACATGTAAATATACGTTGTTCTAGTTTTAAAAGTACTGCCCCACATGTAAATATACGTTGTTCTAGTTTTAAAAGTACTGCCCCACAGGTAAATATATGTTGTTCTTAGTTAAAGGTACTGCCCCACAGGTAAATATATGTTGTTCTTAGTTAAAGGTACTGCCCCACATGTAAATATATGCTGTTCTAAGTAAAAGGTACTGCCCCACAGGTTACTATATGTTGTTCTAAGTTAAAGGTACTGCCCCACAGGTTACTATATGTTGTTCTAAGTTAAAGGTACTGCCCCACAGGTAAATATATGCTGTTCTAAGTAAAAGGTACTGCCCCACAGGTTACTATATGTTGTTCTAAGTTAAAAGTACTTCCCCACAGGTTACTATATGTTGTTCTAAGTTAAAGGTACTACCCCACAGGTAAATATATGCTGTTCTAAGTAAAAGGTACTGCCCCACAGGTTACTATATGTTGTTCTAAGTTAAAGGTACTGCCCCACAGGTTACTATATGTTGTTCTAAGTTAAAGGTACTACCCCACAGGTAAATATATGCTGTTCTAAGTAAAAGGTACTGCCCCACAGGTTACTATATGTTGTTCTAGTTTTAAAAGTACTGCCCCACAGGTTAATATATGTTGTTCTAGTTTTAAAAGTACTGCCCCACAGGTAAATATCTGCAAATATATTCTTAGATGTGCCGTGGTGCAAATAATTCATAATTGACTATATATGTCAGATTTATAATTAATAATATTTAAAAACAAAAAATATTTTTTATTTATTATGAGGAACTATATCAGCAAAGTTATAAATGCGTCCGATTTCATAAGATTTAGTCAGTTTCGTCAAAAAAAAAACGATTTCATGAATCTTACCATAATATAACTTCATAAAACTGATGATATGGTTTCGTGAAATTGACAATATTATGAATACTGTCGTGAAGCTGACTACTAATCATAGTCTTGTATATGATAAATATGTGTTATAAAGATACTTGATTTTTTAAAATAATAAAGATGTATCGAAATAAAAAAAAAATATTCAGTACGAATTGAGATTTATATATAGTGGAGAAATGCAATGTGATACTAAAGGTTTAAAGCTTAGGAGTCGACTAAGATCCAAAGTAAAAACAACACTCAACATCTACATAGAGGAGGTGCATTATTGTCCATAATTTGATAAAATTAGTCGTTCTAATATGATAAATAATGAATTAACTACATCATACAGTTGTCTCGTCCTTCTAGGTCAGTGACGTCAAGGGTCTAAATTTGATTTAATGATCATATCGTTGTAGAAAAACATGTTTATAGTTCTCTGTTTTGTTTCATTGCAGATTTTTCTGATTGTCGTTATTTATATGAATGTTTAAGGCATCAATGTAGTGAATTCTTCATTTCAACTGAGATTGGATGGCAGCGGCTGCTGGTTGACACGTTGTCACATCACGTGAGAAATTTGCAGAATGTGTAATTTACGTGCCCAGTATGGGAAATATGCGTGTGTATCGCTATCGCAAAAAAAGAACTTTTGGAAAGAGAAATTCGGCCAGAATATATTTCTAAACCGGAAATTTGTTGCTTTGGAAATGTTTTGATATTACTTTTAGTATATGTTTATTATAAGTTGTCATGGAAAATGGCAAAATGCATAGTGACTGACATGTGAAGAAAAGCTGATACATGTGCTTATCTTCGCTATATCGGTTCTTCTTTCCTGGTTTTATAGTTCATGCTGTATGTATTGTCGGCTGGAACTAATAAGGTCATCAATAGTTTTTGTACTTAGTCGTCGATTTTACCTGAAAATTTCATTAGTTAATGAGATCGTATATATTTAGTGCTTTACGTTTGTTTAAACAGTCATTTCATCTCATCGATTAGACGTTATTTCATTAATATTATGTTGCTGCTTGCCATCTGTACTATATATATATATATACATGTGTCTTGTCATATGTGGAGGTAAAGTGAACGGACGAACGGACGTGCATATATATATGGAAGTCTGATGATGATCCAACTACGCAGGACGATCGGATGGGCATCCCTGTTTCCGTGGAACTGGCGCAACGCGCTTACCTTGGCATCAGTGTTTCTCATATTTACATTGATTAACATAATTTTTGTAAGATGTTTAAAATTTGTATTTTGTGTAGGTATATAGCTTTTAACTAGTGTATTTTTTAAAGAAAAAATAAACCCAATGTGAAAAGATCTTGTCCACTACATAATTCTAAAAGGTGCCAGTGACCGAGACGTTTTTTCTATTCGAAATTATGGTCACTAATTAAAATCTCTCACTGGAAGTAGGCTGCTGCCTATGACAGCAACACCACGCGGAAAGAAATTAAAGTTAATTTTGTGCAATGGTTTTGGAGGCAAAATAAGCCTTGTTAACTTGCTTCAGTCTGCCTTGAGCTGCAGTTACATTCTCGAATATTTTTTCTGTACATATTCGTTCACAAATAACGCATGTGACACATATATTTGTGCACATGTGTGTGATACAATATGAGGGATATTTCTGTTTTCGCTTCCGCGTGATGACTTCTTAAATATTGCATCCAGAGAATGCCCTAATCTTTAAGTGCCTAGAAAGAATGAAGAAATTATGCAATTTATGAAACCAACACGTGTAGAGGATTTCTATTATGCTTACATATGGATCAATTGTGCCGCTTACCTTAGCGACCTCTAGTGGCAATCAGAATGTATAAAGTATCGGTCGATAACTCTACACAACGAGTCACAAATTTAGACTGGTTTCTTGATTTAAACATTTGCCTTTTTGTACTCTTTCGCAATGGCAGTTCATTTAATCAGACACGGGTCTTCTTGTTATCATGAAATCTTTATTTTTCTATATAAATGTGGTGGACACTATCTTTAGTTATTGCATTTGTACCCAGTGTTGTGTTTGTATGCCCAGTGTACTTGTGTGTAATGTCTGTAGCGCCGTTATATGAAGCATAATACTATACAGCTAAGGTTTATATAACAAATTATTTTAACATAAAAATAAAAGTAACCCAGCCCAGGATTCGAAACTCAAAACTCTCTCAAATGGCACGGATGCATTCCCCTTTGGCGAATTTAAATAGGAACGTTTTCTGTTTCTGAAAACGTATTAAGTCTACAATATGCAAATAACACAAGTGCATAAGGATAGAATGCCCGCATATTTCATACACCGTTTGAGGAATCATAAGGAATGTATATTTTGAAAAAAAATAGTTCACTGTTTTAATGTGTTTTGAAACAATATCGATCACGTAAGTGTTATATCTTCAGATAAATTTCCCACTTTTGGATTTTTTCAATCATCATTGCCAATATTTTCTACAAAAAAACTAATTATACATTATACATTAAATTCATTTCGAACGAAGATGAAATCTGAAGCCATAGAGCCCGCGAGCAATAGATTGCAAACCGAATTTTACGTTTTTGACTGCTGTTCCTTTTAATTTGTCGAAACATTGATATTAACAGTTTTAGTCTTTAGGAAGAAGTCATTATCCTTTGTTTTATCACAGATATTTGTATAATATATTTATCTTGTCGATACATTATACAACTAGTATCATACTCTGAAGGACTTATCTGTACTAATTTAATTGATTTTGACACACATTTCTTACGTGGGAATGATAAGTGTAGAATATCGTTTCTTGTGTTGACTGGGTTAAATGCAATAAAATTTCCTTTTGAAATATCATTTTCTTGTTTTATGTTTTTCATGTTAAAATGGATATGATTATTAAAATGAAATGATAGTTTGTAAAGCATTATCTCAACTGTACATATTGAAAATGTAAAACAACACGTGTACGCTGGACTTGGAAAACATCTGATAATTTATAGAAGTTAAAATTATTAATCATATTGTAATATATCCTGAGTAAATTATTATTGTAGATGATTATCTCGTCCTGGTTAAGGATTTGTAAGATACATAAATGAAAAGAATCTTACTCTTAATTACACGATGAGGGAGGGCGGAAGGGGTCATCAAGCCATTTCCCGAGTATATATTCTGATCTCCACCTGCTTGGAATTATATCAACCATACTAGTAAAAATCCGACAAGCACTCACCTATGAAAGACTGATTAAAATCAGAATCAGAAGAGTCGAGGAATTATTAAGTTCTAAATCTCAACATTGATGCTAGGAGGCTATATTTTAGGAGGCAACTGAGACAAATCAATCTCGTAGAAATCTAGGACAATGTAGACAGAAATATAGTTAGGAAGGATGTACACTCCAAAGCTTCGACCTTTTCCATTCCATTGTACTTAACAATCAGACCCTAAGCAAGTCAACTACTCTCTTGACGAATCCTCCGCTGATGACGTGTGACTAGTAGTCATATTTTACATACAAAAAGCAATGCTTCTAAATGGTAAAATCGGTTTTATTGGGGTAAATAAATAGGTTAATACAATGGATAATACATACATTTCGTATGATATTTGCTAGTAAAGCGATTCGTTTATAAAATGTGAACTAGTTTGGTGATAATAATATTTTTATAACGATTATCATACAAATATGGGTTGACATTACGGTAAAATATATCTGTCAATAAAATATAACTCAACATTAAATATTGAATACATGTAAAAACTTGTTTTAAGAAACGCACAGTCCTCCGTTTATACATCCATATGTTAATGGAAAATAAAAATATGCCATATCTCAAATTTTAAATCGACCACTCGCGGGTGATGTAAATCTAGGATCGTTTAAACAAATCTTCGGTGATTTTATTTTTTCGAACTCTGGCAAGTAAAATAAAACCTTTAAGATGTCCCATAAAATCTCACATGAAATGAGAACAAAAAGGAATGGTTCAAGGGTATATTACATAAGTGTCGTATACACAATAATATAACATTGACGAATTTATTGGATAAAAAGTTATTTATTTTAAGTAGATAAGTCTAGAGTTATGTGTTTTATATACAAATCGTATATCAATTATTAAAATTTGATAAAATAGGACGTGTTTTTTGCGGAAGTCTTAAAATGGATTATCTTTCTTTTTAATCGTCTTGTTTTCAGGTTGGCTTCTTTCGTTTCATTCCTTGAAAATAACGATCAAATTAACTCTTCGAAAATAAAAAATAATAATAATGATTTATGTTATATAAATTAGAAGATAATTGAATACTGTATACATATGCATCATTATGTACTTTTTCTACACTTTTACAAAACATTTTTTTTTTCGATGATTAAGAATACCACGGACACCTCAACTTGGGTATCATCATATTTTGCATAAATAAATTTATACATATACATTATATATCCGATGTTTTATATATTATCGATTTGGGAAACCCATGTGAATTAATTTTGATGGAATGTTTATACTTTCCTGTATATGTAATCTTTTACAGATTTATATGCACTACAGGACGAAACAGAATCGGAAGAGCCGCGTAACCATTAAAAGGCATTTTCTCCTTGTATAAGATACGAGACATCACCACTAAAATAACTCCAAATGAGGACGTTGTTGCAAGATCTCTTTAGATAGCGTTTGTTTTTAGAAGCTCTTATCAATTATCCAGTGCAATATGTTAAAGAAAGGAAATATAAGTATGACACATCCTTTCATGACCTAAATGGGAAATGCATACTTGTCACGCTGTAACATTGCCTTCCCCGAGAACAGCTGACACATAATAATATACACTGTTATCATATATTAAAAGATACACATCAACCACCGTGTATGGTCACGCATGTAATGAAATTATTAGTGTGCAGACACAGAGTTACATTTCGCTTCAACGTCAAGATTAAGAACATTCGATGTTGATTTGTATGTCTTTACGTACCTATAATCTATGATAACAAAACATTATGTTAACAAGCAATTGGTGATTTAATTTGTAGTTATGTGATAGCAGAAAGAAAAATAGTACCTAAAAATAGTACAAACAAGTGATTGGTGGTTTAGTTTGTAGTTATGTGCTAGCAGAAAGAAAAATAGTACCTAAAAATAGTACAAACAAGCGATCGGTGATTTAATTTGTAGTTATGTGCTAGCAGAAAGAAAAATAGTACCTAAAAATAGTACAAACAAGTGATTGGTGGTTTAATTTGTAGTTATGCGCTAGCAGAAAGAAAAACAGTACAAATAAGCGATTGAAACGAGGAGGGATCAAGTGGGTACGTTGAGAAATGGTACAAACATGCGATTGAATCGAGATGGGATACATTAAGTGCGTTGTTAAGTATTGAGGACCACTTCCTTGTCCCAAGTAATGTATATAGGCAATCACTACATCTGACAGAGAAATATTTCCGTTCTTTTCCAAAATGTTATCCTTAACGTTTTTTCAGATATCAATAGAATTCAATTAAATTCAAGGTTGTGGGTATTGATTACACGGTTATGTACTAGACTTTACCCATACACGTTTGTTGGTTGGATTTATCGCCGCGTCAATAGCCAGGGTTAATATGAGCCAGGATCTCCTTGTAGTAACCGGTGGAAACTCGCTGAACAGTAAACGAGAGATCCGTCACTTGCCATTCAGACCTGTCGGGGTTAATGTCTTGTACAAAGAGCATACAAAGACATCATAAACCAGTCCATATCGATAGTTAAAGCAGTGGGCTATATTCTAAACTACACGATCTCGATAGACATAATACTGGACGAGGCTCTCGCTAGGGACACTGAACTGGTATCATTTCAGACCAGAAAGTTACCTCATAGAGCGATGCATATTTTAGATAACTCCTCAAGTCAAAGAGATCTCGACACATCAGATACTGATCTGGAATATCTTATGAGGCATACGTACAAAGTAATACTATATCTCACCAGCTAGGTGTAACTTTGGGCCTATCACAGGGAAAGTTTCAAACATCTCGTCAATTTAGCAACTAAACTGGTCCAATTCCCTAATTAACGAACTGGAGACGATCATTAATCAAGGTTATGTTGACTATCTTTGTCAATCTAACTGAACTATCTCGTAATACAAGATATGAAATAAAATCGCGTCTGTCTTGTTACTGAACAAACTTTTATCAAGTTGGATGTATTGAGAAGACAGACCACTCTATAGTGACAGGACATCCACTGCCTATGAATATATTGCTGTTCGTAGAAGCTGAAACGAAAACAAGATATTATCATAAAGTAACCATATTTGAAACATAGATGCTTATTACTAGTATTTTATTGTGATAAAACTGAATTGATTAATCCAGAAGTGAAGATGAACGTAAATAGAAAATACATACTTAGCAGAAAGTAGTTTAGATTACTCAAGTTTAGATTACTCAAGTCAAATCGTACAAAACACAAATAAGTGAATAGTTATTTTTAACACAATTTAGAATTAGGTAAAGAGACAAATAATGAGTAAAACTACATCGCACAACTGTTTCGTCGCTTGACAGTGATGCTTAAGACCTTGTTTTCAAAACCTCGGAGGCGACTGAGGAAAATTCAAAATGATTAAAATCTAGATGGGGTACATTTGCCCATAATTTATATATATATATATATATATATATATACATGTTTTGATGAAGAAATAAGATGACATTCTTTGATTTGATAAAATAAATAATGAAAACTATCGATCCATGGAAATGCTTATGAAAATGGTTAACTACCGTGACGGCATATTTAAGGACTTACCTCTTGTAGGAATCCACTTTGGTCCTGTGAGGTTTCTTTAGGCAGGTTCTGTCTGCGCTCTAGTTATATTAGAAAAATATAAGAAGTCCCAGTTAGTCATACAAAGTTGGTATTTGCTGCATTTCTTATTATCATAGCATATCGTTCTGGAACATTGAATTTCTTATATCATTTATCCCATTAACATCTAATGACCAACAAGTCGTCTATTTTAATTCTCAAAATGTATCTACACTGAATAAGAAAAAGAATCAAATTAGATAAAAGGAACCATGTTACATTTTCAAAATTCGAAAAATTCATGTATTTGAACAAATATACTGCATAGTTAGAAACATATGTGGGGAATCTCATTTCACTATATTCGCGGTCAGTAAAGATATTGTGACATTCAACTCCCAGCAAACATTTCTACAGTGATTCAAAATCTCAGAAACATTATGTTATCATTGTAAACATGGGCACCAGTACAACCAATACAGCGAAATATAAGTCCCACGAAAATTGATTATTATACAGTAAAGCATATTTAACACAGTGGTTTTTTTTTTTTTTTTTTTTTGGTTTTTTTTTTGTTTTTTTCTTGTTTTCTTAAAACAGCACAAACTAATAAGCATATATCACAAGCAAATACGGCAGCAATTACATATATATAGATCCTAATATTAATTGCTTGTAATCTGTAATGTTGTTTTATCTATATCATTCATATCTTTATCATGGTTAGCAGCAAACAAACGAGGTATACCTGATGACATATTTGAGGGCGACTTGTCACAAGAAATGTAACTACAGATTCACTCAAACTAAATAAAATACACATTCTACTACAGTATCCATACACTTGGATAAATCTGCACAACTGATGCTGTTAACAAGACAAATGAAAAATCAATTACCAAGGAGACAACAAGCGACACGGTTGCTAACGAATCAAAGCTTAACGAATATAAACATAAACAACGGCAAAATAATGATGGAAAAAGTAAATAAAGCCTAAGTTTTTTTTCAGAGCATTTGACAAGATCGACAAGAGACAAACAATGATTCGGCTTATGATTAGTCAAACAATCCCGAAGCGATAAACAACAATAAAATCGTTTTCATGGCCACAAGGAAAAACGTTACAGTTTCTAAACTAGATCTTATACAATCGACCAATGGCAAAACCAAGATTGAACGGTTTCAGACACTGGTTAAATGTAAATGATTCTGTAGTACCGATTAATAACAGAATTAAACAACCTTAAAGTTAACCGGAAGCAGAAGCCTTGGGATTCAAATCTAAAAACTTCGTCTAAAGAAACATAAATCAACAAAATTACATCGTATATTTGTGTTGTTGTGTTTTTGTTTATTGATGATATGCAGCCGGGTCACGCCACCATACATAATGGTAAGTTATTACGCTATACCAAGCCAATTTATGGTTTATCAACTGTTAGTAGAGGATGGTTGGTATGTACGTTACTTGTTTCGTCTTAGCAATCAGAGATGAAGAACTATCAAACGTGGTTATAATTTTCAAAAACTCAAGTATTACAGTAAGCGGTAAACCTATATTTACCTCTCCGCACTATACCTATAGATATATAGGTAAAAAAAAATTATCAATTCTAAACGAAGGTTTTATCCTTACAAGCAAACCCGGTTAGATGTCACTGACATTAGTAAGACAGAAATTGCATGACTAAGGTGATATGTATAATTTTAAACACAGTGTCTAGAACTGGAATGAAAATTACGCTTTTTCTCAATTTAATGAAAAAAAAATCATAAAGATCAAGTCATGATTGTAAGTTTTAATTAAACACTTACGATGAGCTACACTCAACTTGACTAAGGCGTTCACATAAGACTCCAGAGTTATCACCCCTTTGTTTGCAAACCTGATGACCAGTGCTTCAAGAGTTTTGTTGCTGACTGTAAAACCTGTGCGGAAAGAAAAGGATAGGACGATAAGTTCAGCGATTACTATTGATTTCTGCTTACTGTGAACAGGTCACTGCGTCAGTTCCTGGGTCACGTGTCCACGGTTCATTGATTCTTTGTTTGCATGCGGTTGAAATAGCGTCTGCAATCATTTGAAACAAAACCGGTTCTAATCAGCCGAGGTTTGCTCGTCGGTGATATGCAGAGAGGTTTGGTCAACAAGGCTAATTGTGCTACCAACATGGCAACGAATCGATAATTGTACAGGTATAATAGAGAGGTATATAGAGGACATGCTATTAGTCATAATAGTGGATAGATATTTATTGTACAGCACGCTTGTATCGATCAATGCTGCTGGCAATTAGTGAATAAACGTGAATCTCAAAGATGGCTCTTTACTAACGTATAACAGACGGTCCACAGTTGACACATTTCCATTATAAACAGATCGATAGTTCTCCAAACAACCCATCAGCTATTTATCTTTGATGTAGGCAAAGAGGCGTCCATTGTCAGTGGTAAAAGAAGAGTATTTCCCAGGTTAAGTAAATACATTTAACAAAGTCATGATAGAGTATCACTTTCCTTACAATATCAATGCCACCTGTCCGTGGCGAGTACGATATATCAAGCAATGAAATATAAACTTGATTTATTCGTAATTTCGTTATGCCCTTCCACGTTTAGAATAAAACTGAGCATTTCCAATAGTTGAAGATATAAAACAGATGTAGCAAATTTAAGTACACTCAAATTAATAGATTAAAGTTACACTTATTTGAATGCCTTTGTAATTTTAGAGAAAGAACTAACAGCTTAAGTTCTTGTTCCAAAATTAAACGCATAGGTATGCATATTTAGGAAATAAGATATTACCCATTTATTTCTTATTGTGTTGAATAGAAACATATGACCATGAATTTGATTCGAATTTAAAAGAGAAAATTGAAGGTTGTAAAATACCATATATTCGCATGTAGAATACAGGTTTTCAACCAATCTCATATACACATCCCTATGCCGGAGACCTATAGCATTGCCAATTTCATTAGGTAACTAATTTGAACTGTTGTTTTAAGATTTAGTGACAAACTAACTTTAGGTATAAAATGATAACCAAAGAAAAGATATCAGCCGTGGAATTGGTTCTGATCAGTTCTCACCGATAAATATCAGAATGTCAGATTTGTCAGGGCTTTTTTCGTTAGTTCCACTGTTGCATACCTTGCTCTCACTTGAGAACGTTACATTACATACTTGGATTGACCGATTTTTACATGGTGGGTGTCGGCAATGAAGCAGAAGACGCTTACTGTTCCGGGGCACTTGGTCTTATTATCTTTTTTGTTTTCTTTAGTAATTTCCGCATTAGTCTTTCTTTTCTGTATAATTTGTCAAATTTGTTTGGATTGTAAATACATCCACATGTTAGTATTTTCTTTTTGTCATTTTTAAAGTATTAACAGAAAAAGTGATCAGTTGGATCTTAGATAACAAATGTGTAATCTGCAGACGAAGAAAGATTGACAGACTGATTTATTGATTTATTGATATCGCTTATCGGTTTTTCCCCATTGTGAATTTTACAAAAAATAATCATAATTTCATAAGATTGTCATATGCAATGCGATATTTTTTATTCTTTGAGAAGGATTTTTCTTGTGAAAAAAAATTATACCATCCATCAGTTTTCCTTCTTTTCGGTTTCTTTCGCCTAGCTCCCCAATCCCCCTCTCTCTCTCTCTCTCTCTCTCTCTCTCTCTCTCTCTCTCTCTCTCTCTCTCTCTCTCTCTCTCTCTCTCTCTCTCTCTCTCTCTCTCTCTCTCTCTCTCTCTCTCTCTCTCTCTCTCTCTCTCTCTCTCTCTCTCTCTCTCTCTCTCTCTCTCTCTCTCTCTCTCTCTCTCTCTCTCTCTCTCTCTCTCTCTCTCTCTCTCAGAGTACAAATTGAATATATCACGCAGTCAATTTCACAAGCAGAAGAAATCCCAATAAGATAAGCTATGTGATCATGGTGTTAAATAACACTTATTGAGCTCTAATGACGCTTATTTACTTATTACTTAAAGTTTCGAGGGAAAGAACACATTTTATCCCAATTTATACCTGCCATCTTTAGTGCATTCCTCAGGGAGTACGTCTCCATATCGGTGTTACCTTGGGTAATCTTTTGGTATATTTCCTGTGATCAAAATGAATACAACATCGCTATTAGATATCAGTTCTTCAGCGATTTCAAGTGTTCTTTTTAGTCAACATGTTCCTCTTTTTTCATTTACAAGAAACCCTCACGTCGATATCATATTATTTTCGACCACAGCATTCGATGCTTAAACATCCTGCATATTGACCTTCATGCTCATTTTTAATATTTTGTTAGAAATACAAAAAAGTTGTGATACAATAATATAAGAAAATACGCATCACTAATCAGTACATGGAATTGGCATCACCAAAAATCACAGTGATATATTTTACAAAGTAAAGTACACATTCATGACTGGTATATATCCGTACACGAATTAGAATAATAACTCAAAATTTACCGTTATCGCCTATAAATGTTCTGTTATTTGCAATACGTCCTTCTCAAAATTAAGAGTAAAAAAATTCTAATAGAAATGAAACCTTTGAAACGCTTTTGTATTACAGGGGAAAACTCGAACTGTCTACTTGCCTGCCAGTGCATGAGAAGATGGAGGAGTTGGTTGAACTCATCATAGTTGAGACGTCCATTTAAATCCCGCTTCTCTGGTTAAGGTAAATTACTATTCGTACATAGGTCGTATTAAAGAGTTGTGCAAAGATTGTACAAAAGACACGCAAGTGAATAGCACCTTTTTTGTAATTTAGAGTTATCACTTATAGTAGAGTTGAATAATGAATCAAACAGCTGTTTCGTTCTTCTAGAACTCGTCACTGATGCTAAGGACCTAATTTTTTGCAATTCAAGAGGCGACGGAGGAAAATTCAAAGTGGTCGAAAGAGAAAGGGAGGTGCAGCAGCCCCATGATTAAATAAATTCCGTAATTTTCATATATCTGAACAATTTTGAGTAGCGTCAGGTACAATGAATTAAAACGTTGCGTGCAAGTAACGGCAAACCTCAAGGAGTTAAAGTCCACCAGCAGTGTCTACCATCTGCTATTTCAAAGATTGTACAAAAGACACACAAGTGAAAAGCACATCTTAATAATTTAGTGATAGATACACTAGAGCTAAACAATGGATTAGACTGCATCATACAGCTGTTTCGTCCTTCTAGGACTCGTCAGTTATGACAAGGGACTAAATTTTGAAGCTTAGAAGTCGACAGAGGATAATCAGAGTGATCGAAAAAGTCAAAATATAGACGGGGAAGGTGCACTAGCCCCTTAGTTAAATACATTTCGTAATTTTCATATATCAGATATTTTTAGAGCATCGTCAAGTATATGTGTATATTCTGAAGAGTGTCACTATTCAAATTAATTAAAAAGTGGCATGTTGGTTACACACTTTCCACGCAAATTCGACACAATATGTCCTAACAGTAAATTATATTGATTCACAAAGTAGTTTCGTCCTTCCAGGACTTATCAGTAATGACAGATTTCCAAAGTACTGAAACTTAAGGTTATGAATACTAAACGAAAGATGTGTTCAAAAACTCCATGGCACCTTATCTAATGATCAGGCTGCATTCCCTAAAGATAGGTACAACTATTTGCAAAGAACAATTCACCATAGATCCTACAGAATATACACAGAATACATCCATATGTCTCTAGAAAAAATGGGACCTCGAAAATAAAGTCTTCTAATGGAATGCCTCCACTTGCCTCCAACATTATAAAAATGTGGGAGAAATTGACAGGCCTCAAGAAAAAAACCCAAATACGAGTCCTGTAGGATTGGCAATACAAGGAAGTCCAACAGGAATGGCAATACAAGGAAGTCATACAGAATTAGCAATACGAGGAAAGACCTTCAGAGCTGGCAAACGAGGGGAGACCTTCAGAGTTGGCAAACGAGGGGAGACTTTCAGAGTTGGCAAACGAGGGGAGACTTTCAGAGTTGGCAAACGAGGGGAGACCTTCAGAGTTGACAAACGAGGGGAGACTTTCAGAGTTGGCAATACGAGGAAAGACCTTCAGAGTTGGCAAACGAGGGGAGACCTTCAGAGTTGGCAATACGAGGGGAGACCTTCAGAGTTGGCAAACGAGGGGAGACTTTCAGAGTTGGCAAACGAGGGGAGACTTTCAGAGTTGACAAACGAGGGGAGACTTTCAGAGTTGGCAATACGAGGAAAGACCTTCACAGCTGGCAAACGAGGGGAGACCTTCCGAGTTGGCAAACGAGGGGAGACCTTCAGAGTTGGCAAACGAGGGGAGACCTTCCGAGTTGGCAAACGAGGGGAGACCTTCCGAGTTGGCAAACGAGGGGAGACCTTCCGAGTTGGCAATACGAGGAAAGACCTTCACAGTTGGCAAACGAGGGGAGACCTTCAGAGTTGGCAATACGAGGGGAGACCTTCAGAGTTGGCAAACGAGGGGAGACCTTCAGAGTTGGCAAACGAGGGGAGACCTTCCGAGTTGGCAATACGAGGGGAGACATTCAGAGCTGGCAATATGATGGAAGGCCTCCAGGATTGGCAATACGATGGAAGGCCTCCAGGATTGGCAATACGATGGAAGGCCTCCAGGATTGGCAATACGATGGCAGACCTTGTGGTTGGCAATACTATGGGAGACCTCCAAGATTGGCAATACGATGGCAGACCTTATGGGGTTGACAATACTATGGCCGACCTCCAAGATTGGCAATACTATGGCAGACCTCCAAGATTCGCAATACGATGGCAGACCTCCAAGATTCGCAATACGAGCAGACCTCCAGGACTGGCAATACGATGGCAGACCTTATGGGGTTGACAATACTATGGGAGACCTTCAGAGCTTGCAATACTATGGGAGGCATCCAGCATTGGCAATACGATTGCAGACCTTATGGGGTTGACAATACTATGGTCGACCTCCAAGATTGGTAATGCGATGGAAGTCCTACAGGGTTGGTAATACGACGGCAGACCTTCAGAATTGGCAATATTATGGCAGACCTTCAGAATTGGCAATACTATGGCAGACCTTCAGAATTGGCAATACTATGGAAGATCTACACGGTGGTCAGTATGACTGGAGACTTACGGAACTGATCATTGTGACTGGACATCTTCAGGATATTTAGTACGATGAGAGGATCGCAAGTATGAGGGAACACCACCAGGATGCTCAGTATGATGTAAATTCTGAATTGTGATCGTGTTAGGTAGGGATTGACTTCATGATTCTACCATAAAACTAGAGACTTCACGATTGTACTTGATATGATATGATGTCGGAAGACCTCTTGATTGTGATGTCAACATGTGCAACGTACATTGAAAGTCAACAAGAGGCAATCTGGCTAGGATAATTATATATAAACAAAAATGTTGTGATGTAGGTGAAGGATACGTCGGTGATGGCCACAGCAGATTTACACGTATCCAGCGACAGACACAATGGCTTAAACTTGAAACCTGCAAGTACAAAAACTGAATGTAGAAAGTGTTATTAATCATTCTCACAAAATGGTAAATGGTAACCAGTTCCTCAGAAAAAGGAAGTATACATGGTGGTTTAGTTTCTGGTATCCTTGTTCTCATTTGAGAACTTGACATTATTTACGTGTTTTGGCCAGGATTTACGTGGCTGGTGTTATCGATGAAGCAGAAAACGATAAACACTTCCCGAAGACTTCAGACTAACATTTATTGTTTGTTTTGTTTTAAGATTGCCTTTGTTTAACCGTTTATGAATTTGAATTACGATTTTGTTTACATGTTGTTCTTATCTATAGTAGACTATACCATTAAAATTTGAAATTATTTTCAAAATGATGACAGATTAAAAAACATTTTTCTGAAATTTCGGAATTTTAATGTATGTGTTTTTGAACGATATCTTTTTGAAATTCCAAAAATAAATCGGTACCTCTTATGAAGAGTTCTTTTAAATTCTACTCATTTTGCAATCCCATATTACTTACCATCCTCATTTCCATTGCCGCAGCACCAAAGATTACGTAACTCACTTTGTTTGTATTCCAAAATACTCTGTAAGCCTTTGGCGTCTAGTTCGTCATCCTAGTCAAGAACAAATAGACGACGTGTGAAAAATATCGCGGACAAATATCCGCATCCCTTTGTAAATGTTTTCCGATAAATACAAAAACTGACACCCAGGGGTTTCACTTACCTGATTGATGGCGTACAGAAACTTCCGGCGGAAGGCGTCTAAACTGGTCGTGTCCAGCTTTCGGTCATACTGCATCCCAAAATAATGCAAAAAGCAAACGAAGATTTTTAATGAAATACATTTATCACAAGACTGCCGTGTTTTTCACAAAGTATATCCGTGTCATATTCTTGCGTGTTACATTATGTCATATAGCTTATTTTGACATCATCTTAGATATCGATGTAGAAATGAAGAATCGATAATGTAATGAAAAGAATCTTTAATTTGTTTCCGTTGATAAATAATGTATTATACTCGTCACGAATCTTTCTTTTTAGCTTGCAAAAGACTCGTTAAAATGAAAAATTCTTGGATTAATGTCATAAATTCAAATACGAAATGAAAAATTCCTTTAGATTCTATATAGATATATGGCTCTCATGTAATAGTTTACGGTGATACGAACCAGAAAGTACCTTTTATTTGGTAATATGATGAGGGAAGATATACAACAGTCTTAACGTGTTTGAATAAAAGCAAATGCTTAACACAGGACAACATATTTTTGTAGAAAATAAAGATGAAACTCCATTACATACATCACCAGGATGCTTAGGAAACACAGTAATATATCGATATACTTACATATGAAATTAATGTACATTGTGACGACGGTAGACCAAATGTAACATAAACTATATGAAGTTAATATATATTATATATTGTGACGACATGAGAACAGATACAACATCAACTCTGACAAAATGTACCTGGTATGGGATGACTTTGTCTTGTTCATCCAGCTCCCTACAATATCAAACATGTAAAACAGTTATGATTTACAACAACAAACAACAACAGCTGTAACAACAACTAGAAAAATAACTCGCATAATCATCATATCATCCCCCACCACCATCTTCATCACTAACAACAACAACAACAAAACAACATCGAAAACGACAAACAAAAACATTAGCAACAACAACGGAAACAACCTACATCACCATCATATTCACCACCACCACCACCATCGCTAACAACAACTGTAACAAAAGTTTCACAATACACACAAGTAAATATCATTTTTAATGCGAAATAAGGGTCAGATACATTCAGCCAAATAAAGAATAAAAATGCATCATACAGCTATTTCGTCCTTCTAGGACTTAGCAGTGATGCTACATCATACTTCTTCGGGAAATTTGACACATTTCGTCTTTCTAGGACTTAACAGTGATGCTACATCATACAGCTATTTCGTCCTTCTAGGACTTAGCAGTGATGCTACATCATACAGCTATTTCGCCCTTCTAGGACTTAGCAGTGATACTACATCATACAGCTATTTTGTCCTTCTAGGACTTAGCAGTGATGCTACATCATACAGCTATTTCGCCCTTCTAGGACTTAGCAGTGATACTACATCATACAGCTATTTTGTCCTTCTAGGACTTAGCAGTGATGCTACATGTTACAGCTATTTCGCCCTTCTAGGACTTAGCAGTGATGCTACATTATACAGCTATTTCGTCCCTCTAGGACTTAGCAGTGATGCTACATCATACAGCTATTTCGCCCTTCTAGGACTTAGCAGTGATACTACATCATACAGCTATTTCGTCCCTCTAGGACTTAGCAGTGATGCTACATTATACAGCTATTTCGTCCCTCTAGGACTTAGCAGTGATGCTACATCATACAGCTATTTCGTCCCTCTAGGACTTAGCAGTGATACTACATTATACAGCTATTTCGTCCTTCTAGGACTTAGCAGTGATGCTAAGGGCCTAGGAGACAAATGAGCAAAGAGATCGAAAGAAAAGTAAAAATCTAGATGGGGAGGTGCACCAGCCCCATAATTCAAGGCATTTCTCAATCTTTATATACCCGATAATTTTCGAGGAAGGTCAGGTACATCTCGATATTCTGAGCCGCCCAACTATTCGAATTACAGCATACAATAGCACCATACAGCTGTTTAGTCCTTCTAGGACTCGTCAGTGCTGCTACAGCATACTGCTGTTTCGTCCTTCTAGGACAGGACTCGTTAGTGATGCTGCATCACACAACTGTCTCATCCCTCTTGGACTCGTCGATGATGCTACATCATACAGCTGTCTCGTAGTTGGATTGACTAACATGCCGAGTGTCGTCGATGAAGCAGACGACGTTTACACTTCCGATAAACCTTATTTTATTGGCCTTTTCTTACTTTTTGTTCATTCAAGTCATCTATTCTCAATTCTAATATTATCATTTGTATTCTATAATGTTCCCTTTGTATTCATTGCACAGATAGAGAAAATATACAATATAGATGGAAACTCATTTAACATAAAGATAAATTTTATCGAATTATGCAACGTATGACATGCCACAGTTACGGTTCTTGTATTAATATTGCGAAGACTTTTTTTTTTATTATTTAAATTTTCTTTCACCATTGAAACAACTTTTTCAAATGGCAGTCGTTCCTTTTTAAGAAGCATTGGCAGGTGATACTAATTGACATTCATTGACATTTATTAAAGCGTAAACCCCAAGCATAACTTAAAATAGTCCTGCCGTTTACCTGGAAATCAGCACTTACCTGACAGATGAATCACCTTCAGTAAATATCCTCAGTAAGAACTTCCCCTCCATTTCCTGGTTACCTGTCACCGGAAGTACTAGGTAATGTCCCGCCGGAAGTATGTAGAATCCGGTATTTTCACGTTTCTGGTGAAGTCCCGTTGAAAACATCAGTTTTAGTTGGTTAAATTCAGAATATCCTAGTCTTGTTTCATATGCTTTCGGTACCTAAAATGAAACAAATAAGATTATGGAATAACCACTGGAATATATGGAATATAGATATGTTGCTGTTGCGCTATTTTCGTGTTATAGAAACGAGACCGTAGTAGGTAGTAGAACTCATCTAACCAAACTCCACCATTTTTACCTCCGAAGCCATTTGTTTTTAGATGACGGTACTCCTATCAATTTATCATACTCACATTATAAACGAGACAGCCAATGGGGAGCAGTACTCGGTTGACGCTACTCCTGTATTTTTGCAGTAAGGACAAGATAATACACGAGGGTTTCGTCAGATCCATTAAGAATTGACAATTACTGAACACCAACGCTGAAAAAAGACGTTTATATGTGTATAACAGAAGATATGTATGTAGGATAATTTACGGTGTCATTTTCGTATTTTCGTAGTTAAAAAAAATGCCTACAGTGATGATCACCCATCAATTCCCTTCCCAAACAATTAACTACTGATGACAGTAATTGTAGACAATTTTAATTCGCCTGACAACAAAATAAACAATCATAATTCCTCATGGACATGTTTTCCTGGTGAAATTTCCTATAAATAATTCACATATCACAAGACAGTTTGTAAATGACTTTTCATGATTATCTGCATTTTACTCAACCATCCATTTTTTTTTTTTTTTTTTTTTTATTTAATTTTTTTATTCAATATAATGTACAGGTACATAATACAACAGTAGTATTTATAAATATAAAAAAAACACTCTCCCAGAATAACATACACATTTTCACTTCCCTGAATGCATGTATACATGGCTATACACATACAGATGAGCTTCTCTCAAAGAATATGTGCATGTCTACTCACACATGGCTATACATATTACATGTACATGCAATACAAACATGCACCCAGGCATACACCATACACCTAACAGCACATACAGGTAAAGCCATGTATGCATCGTGTACATACATCACACTCGCACCTTCAAGTTTTCACACATACAGCCACACTTATAAACCAATAAACAGGAAATCAATCAACCAAAGAATGCAAGCACTTCCCTTTGGAAATAAAAAAAAAAGAGGTTAGCAGATCTCTTCTAAAATAATCAATTAAATACTAGTAGGTTCAGTGATCTAATTTTCTGAGAGCTGTTATTGTGAGGAGGTATGGAAGTGCTACCACACATTATATTGGTTTTTTTTTTTTTTTAGAAAAAAGTAAAAGAATAGATTGGAATAAGAGATAGATTGACAACTTATTAGTATTTATTATTATTATTATTATTTTGAGATATTCATATAAACAAAGGGTTTCTACAACAGAGTAAACTAATCCAAAACATCAACAGCAAAGCAAATGAGTTGCAATTTGGAGAAAAAGTTAGAAGAATAGTATGAATTAAAAGTGACAGGCTTAAGAACAGGATAGACAAAGAAAAGATTGGGATGAAAGACAAAGAAGGAGTTGGAACAAGCATGAAATGGAAGGAATGTAACAGACTTACTCTTTGAGAACTTTAGTTGTTATCAAATGAGCTCAATATTGAGCATATAAAAAAAATGGAAAAGATACAGAAGTCATCAGCCTGAAAACAGCCAAGCCTTAGGCAATATCTACTAGTTTTTTCCATTTACTCCATTCATTTGAAAAGATTTGTAAGGAAGAATTACCTTTACCAGTTGAAATAAACTTTTGGACAATATAGTTTTCTTTTATAACATTGACTAAAGTAAAGACCAATAACGTATTATGCAGAGTTCTGGTTTTATAGATATAAGATTTAATAATCAGAAGTACTTCATTATCTACTCGATTGTAGACACCAGTATTATTTACCTGGCCAAATAAGATTGATTCTTTATTAATAGGGAACACTATTGTAAGAGCATCCAAAAGTGTTTCAAAACTGGCATAAAAATTTTGGACTTCGCTACATTCCCATAACATATGAACAATTGTCTCCCTTTCTTTCCCTATTACAAAAATTACAGTTAGGGTTGTTTGAGATACCAATTTTATATGCATACAAGTTGGTTATTAAAATAAAATTATTTATCCTGAATTGTAACCAACGAAGTCTGGTGTTTTGAGTTGATCTAAAAGGAATGTTGTATATTTTTTTCCACTTCTCTTTACTTAAATCAAAAATACTTCCCCATTTATGCTGCCCCGTAATGTTAATTTCCTTTTTAATAAGTTGTTGATAGAAGTTTTGTGATCCTTTTTTTTCTTTAAAATTAATTCAAGACTCAACGGGATAGAGGGATACATTAACGATCCAGTTAGGGGGTAACAGGCCTCAAGTATTTCTTTATACTTTGGATTACTTCATAGTACTGTAAATAATTAGTTACTAAACCATATACATTACAAAATTCAATAAAATCGTAAAATGAAAATTCTCTTGAATCCTTTAATAAATCATTTACTACCCTCACTCCTGCATTATACCATTTTTCATAAAAAATTGGTTTATTATTTATGTCAAAGTTTTTATTAAACCAAAGAGGCACTTTAAGTATGGACTCATCATCATTTCTGAAGAGTTCTTCTTTCACTCAACCATCTATTTTACGTGTAATTGCTTTAGAATGTAATTTCTTTGCATATGGATTAGAAACGGATGGTTATCAGGTTTAAATTGCAACACCCCGACACAGCCTCAGAGCCCCTTACTCCTGTACCCACCCCACAAATAAAAATGGAAATGACGGGGCCGTAGAAGTGTGCATACTATGATATAAAAATAAAAGGAACATCCTACTCACGAGAAGTATGAGGACCCCCCGCGTTGAAGCCGACACGCCACTGACGCAGTGCCTGAGTGGACCGCCATGAATTTCGATACTGTATTTTGGGCTCCAGTTTCCAAGATTCCGGCGTCAGAAAACATGATTCCATCAAGGTGAAAATCCGAACAAAATCTTCTAATGACATCCTGAATCAGAATTTGTATGAAATGAGAAGACATAAAAACTTAAACTACATTAAAACTCATGTTCCTAACTTCTTTCTCTGTGGATAGCATTTTGTAGTTATAGAACCTTCTATTGACCTCGTCAACATGCAGAAGCTGTTAAGCATTTGATCAGATTGACGTTTCTTCATCAACTTCAGTAAATCATGAATTTTTCGTATACATATATCAGTTTAATTTCTTTGGGTTAAGTGACTAAATTTTTCCTTAACAAATCTATGGATGTTTAAATAAAGTGTAGTTTCCCTACCAGAATTCTCCGTATTCCATCTTCCTCTTTCGGACCTGCGCCCTGACGTCATCTGTGAGCTCGCCCCATTGTTTCGAACTGTAAGCAAAGAGAAAAAAACGTGCATTACATGCCCTAGCCTGTGCTATATTCAGCAGAATGTCAGATAAATGGCTTTAGAAATGGGCTTACCCCTCGCTCCATGCTCCCTGCCATTGGGACTTCCCTGAACAGTCCCTCAGACGTACAAGGACCTTTGTTTCCAGTCTCCCAGGCAGCTGTAGCAGTGGTATCAAAAACTAGTTTACAAGTATATTTTATTAATCACATAATCCTCCTGTCATCCAGTGAATACAAGTGTAAGTCACTACTGGTATATACCCTGGAGTGTTTTTCATTGGCTGCACCACTCAGAAGTTGATTGTGATGTCATGATATGGACAATGACTTTACGTCATCAATTGAAAATGACACAACAAAATAACCGCATTCGTTTGATTTTGTACTCTATATTTTGACTTGAAATCCTGTCAAATTGGAACTTTTCTGATGCGATTAAAAGATCCGTAAATTTCTTTTCATCTTGTTTGTATGCCAAGCACATAAAATAAAAAAACTTCTATTACTCGTTTCATAAAATCTTACAAAAAAACTCGTTTAATATCATTCATATAAATGTAAGACATTTGCATGTCACTCGTTAAATTGAAAAACGTCATTGAAATAGTTTCCCATCACTCATAATGATAGCTGGAGCTAGCGCATTTGAAAGAGCAGCCAACGGCTTAATCGGAAATCGCATTTCATCAGAATTGCTGATACTATCAGTAATCATATTATTGTTTTCATATTCGATATAAATGCCATCTGCATTGGTTTTGTGATACAGTAGTATATTCAAATGACAATATGTATCACACTTTCATTTATATGTAAATGTACTGGTTGTATATCAATATGTCGCGTGACTTACTTCGGCGTATCCCGTGACGTTGTACACGTGTCCTGTGACTAGCCCAGGCGGGCTAACATTGGCCTTGCCGTTGGTTGAACTCTGTGGCAGAAGCAATGACATGATTAACGTAAAACTTACGATTGAAAAAAAAAGACTTTGTGTTGATTGAAACGGAGAAATACTTGAAGATGAAAGATAGTTGATCTCCTTGGAGTTGAGATAGGGTGTCAACACGATGGGAAAGATTTTTATGTTGGCAAACACGTGACCCTTCCCCATCCCTCCACCTCCATCCCCTCTAGGTATCGCTCCTCTCTAAATGCGTAGCTACACCTGCTCCGTGTTATAGAATAGGGTATCCTAAATTGTCAACAATTGTCAAAGGAAATGAATTTTGATAAAAATTGGAAAAAATGGAAAGATTATAAAGAGAAAATAATCACCGGATAATAGGTATATCATATAGGTATTGTCGACGTGAACAACTTGTGACGTCAGGCACTGTTTTACCTGTATTGATGCTCCAATCAGCGACGCCCTTGATAATCCGATGTCCACGACTTTCTGGATGAATTTAGGATCATCTTTCATATTTGAAGTCATAGTAACTCCTCCAGTAATATCCTGTAGTGACCAGCCTAACATTCCACCCAAGAAAACCTCGTAACATCCTTGCATCCTTCAAAACAAAACTTTTGTCTGGGTGGGATAGCTTTAGATGTATAAAAACAAATAATTAATTTCAATTTAACATTCGTTGAATCTATTTTGTCTTCCCAAAACTTTCTTATTTATGATAATGATATTCTTTTCAAAATTATTTTGATGACATAATTGGTACGAACTTCATTTCCGGAAAAGAAAACTCTGCATTTGACGATAACGGTCTCAGCTACATGTACTGTGCGATGACGTCATACATTAATTACGTCAGTGAGAAGCGTGAACCCCGTAAACACGACTTACTTAGCGTACGCTTTCTCGAATAGAGCAGGCCAAAACTCCGTAGGATCATTACTCCGGGAATACAACAATTTACCTGAAAACAAAGTTGCCGTATTCAATTAGTACGGAGGTTTGTGATTAGAATAACTGGAAATTTAATGTTGAGTGTCTACAATATGAGGATTTGATAATTCTGAATATTCACATTTATTTTTGTCATAAATGACATAATATCAACATGATTGTTTATAATATACAAAGACTAGTTTTGAAAGTTGAATTAGTCTGTGGTGTATCAGATGGAATTTATAATGTTTTAGAATAATGTGAAGTAGAATTATTTCATTCACTTTATTCGTAGGAAGTGAAAATCGTATAATCATCCTACATTTTCTAAAGACCCTCGTGATCTGAACCCATAAAACATATTAGAATTTTATTTATAAGCTATTTAAGCAAAGGCTTGTAACATCTTTTTTTTTCGCGTGTAACGGCCAATCAAAATCACCGTTACACAAAGCAATGTTGTCTTACTTGACTAATGGCCAATGAAAATCTTTTTTTCACATAATACGCCGGCATGTTATTTATGTTATCGATCAAAAAAACGTCAATACAGAAATCAAAGGAAGAAAATACCATTCAATGTTGGCAACCGATCGTCAATCACAATCTCTGTCCATTGACCAAATCTCCAAAACCGGAAGCGGAAGATACCAGCATATTTGTTGTCGAACTCTTGTCCTTCCGGTATACAATTTTTCATTAGGGAGGGTGCGCCCGTCAGACAAGTGAAACATCCAATTAGCCAATTAGACCCTGAAACGAATGCTATAATTTGAATCGATATCTGAAGAAACGAAACAAACAATTCTTAAAAACATACACACAAAGTGCTAGAACAATTGACGGAATTTATGATAGAATTGGTTCTCCATTGACGCTTCACGGAAAGCAACGCAAGTTCTCTACATGCATTTTTATTGATACATTTTCACAGCACAGATTTTTACTCAAACCCATCATTTATTTATTTACTTAAAGAACCTTAGGGAAAACAATTTTAGTTGACTTTTCTGTTCAAACCCAAGCAGTATGATATACCAGTTATCTCCCTTGAATCATTGGGTGTTTGTAATAGCAGCTCTTACCTAACTGTCCCGACAGAATTTTACAGTCCATGACGTCATTTGAAATGAATTTTGGTTTCTTGCACAGATTCTGAAACAAATTTTTTGACAATGCTTCTCAAAGCTGACAAATATGTAAGTTTACCGTTCTTGACAGATTTTGAGGACACAAATTTTCTACGATAAATATATATCATTCTAGGGGAGAGACGTAATATTTTACTACAATTATCAAGAAAACGAATTGAAATCAAAGTCGAGTGGAATGTGTAAGAAAAAATGAATTAGGTTAAAGTGAAAATTCCATTACAGTTTGAATATATTAAGGTTAGCGATACCAAATAAAAAGAGGAACAATTCCTCTATATTAAGTTGAAGCCATACAAGTTTTCTGTCTCAAGGTCATTCGATGAACATTAAGATAAAAATTTTGAACCCCTGCATACCCCGGGACGTTTCCATTGTATTTGACCAACCGGAGACTTTCCCTGTCGGAAAAGAGACTCGTCCATGGCTGGGAAATCCGGGTCTTTGAATAACATTTCACTATGAATAGAAGTGACAAAAAAACGAAATTGATTTTAAAAGTAGAAACTTAAATTAAGTATGTATGCCATGTTCTAGGAATTACAAATTAAGTTATATAGTGATAAGAAGCACTAACATCGCCTCACAAAAATATATGTAAAACATCTTACATCAAAGCATAATACACCAAAATCTTCGATACACTGTTTATTTGTGTTAATGACGTCATATGCACGTGCGTGTTAGTACTTACTTCTGCAGGCAGAGGTCTCTGTATGTCTCATACATGTTGCCCCTAAAACTGCTTTGGCTGGCAGTAGAAGTATCCAGGACTGACCTCGGTGTCAACGAGTCGTCCAACACGCTATGTGTTACCGTGGCAATGTGGGATTTAGGCCTCGGTATTTCGTTGACAACAGGTGGTCTTGGTGAGGACGCGGGTGGGGATAATGACCTTGGCAAGGTTCCATCGGACGTGAAGTTGAACGGGGGTGTTGACCTTGGAAGAGTATTGCTAGACTTTCTCTCCGATTTTCCTATAAAATGCCTCGCGGTGAACGATTTACTCCTATTGACTTTGTCCTTGGCTGTTCTTGAACCCACTCGGTGGAAGTTTTGAGAAATAGTCGGTGACCTTGGCTCATATTGCATTTTAACAACCCCGTTCGGTGACTTTTGGCCGGTGATAGCTGATAAATCCAAAGGCGGAGGTGACACTTTGGATGATGATGATGAGGTAAAACCATTAACGTTTGACCTTGGAGTTAATACATGTCCGTTCGGAATCTGCCTTGGACTTGTGGGTTGCTCATTCGGATCCGGTATTACAGTCAATGCCTGTTCATTTTGACCAGACCGAGGAGTAATATTTTCCATTGGAAGAGACATGGTGAACATGGAAGATCGTGAAGGTGACATTGGTGCTGAGTGGTTCTGAAATTGTGATGTCGACGCATGCTCTACGGGTGACATCTGTTGCTGCACGCGCGGCGACAAAGGTCGTCTTTCAAACGGAGACATTGGTCGTGCTCGGCTGTTCGCTGCCTTGATGGAAATGTTTCCGGGAAGCATCGACCTTGGAATCGACAGGTGAATTTGGTATGTTCCGGACTTGACCGACATGTTAGGCTCGTAGTTCCGTCGTCGACCACGTGATCTTCGGGACATGCGTAAATTATACTCATCCGACCTGTCCATGATGACAGCTTGAATCCGACTTTAATTCTGAAAAAAAAATTAACACTTCAAAGTTCAAAATGACACCGATATCAAGAATATGTATAATATCAAAATGGATTTCAAAAAAGTCAAAACAATTGCTCTGCGTAGTAATGTGGTTGCAACTTCAACGGATATGACAGCGATTTTATTAATTTTCGTAGATAATTTGTTTATTGCAACAAAAAAATCGCTTATTTCAACGGTTATTTATATCGTCTAACGTAATCCTCAAGTAAATTTAGAAAATCATTCGGTCTAATTAACGCACGTGCTAAAATACAGGTGTTTTCCGTCACTGCCGAACGCAACAAAAACTTGTTTGGCGGGTGTAGTAGAGAATTGGAGGATACACCTCTGGCAAATTTTTTATGAAACCCTAACGCGTTAGGTAGGATTCGCCACAAAGTTACTTGCTATATCAACAACAATTACATTAAGAAAACAGTGTATTGTTTAATGTATAAATTTAGCGTAAGCATAACACTGAATAGAGGTGCAATATACATGCATGTAGCTCATGAGAACAACTTCAATGGGAAAGTGCTGGAGAAAAAATAATCAATCACCTATTTGTGATGTAGACAGAAATAAAAGATTAATAATGTTGTGATTATTTCTGAACATATAGTGTTGAACATTCATTCAAGTACGGGAATAATTCGCAGTTTTATCAAATTGATTTGTGAGATTTCGAGATAGAAATGCTATCTAAGACAGACGGACGGACTTTTGACGTCAAAATAGCAGACCGATAGATATATTTAAAGACTAAATTGTATTTAAAATCTAATATGAATAATGATATTAGAGCAAATCAATTATGGCTCCTTGCCAGTGAAGCCTAAAGACAAGTTTTCGAAGCGTTTGGGAGATACAGATGTGTTCAAGAGTTTAAACACAATGGTGTCATGATTAGTATGTTTCCGAGGACATGTGTGAAGGTCACAGATGTATTGTGTTTAACCAAAGGTATATGTGATCAGGGCTACAGGGGTCTTTTAATCTGTTACAGTCTGTATGAGTAAAAGACAGTCCCGTGGTCTGTTCAGAACAGATTTAGACGATTTTAAGAGGGCAAGATCTACATTTTATTTAAATCTGCATGCCGCAATCACGTTTTTAAGGGATCCAATATGAAAGAAAAAATAATAAAAATTCAAAATTATTTTATTTGGAAAATATGAATAACTGTTGAAATAAGCGATTTCATCTGTTGCGACAAACAAGTTTATTTACGAAAAATCATTAGATTGTTTTTATATCCATTGAAGTGTGGAAAGATATTTCCGCCAGGAGCAATTACCTTGTCGTGCGTCATCAGGCACACTTCAGCGTAACGTCAACGTCATGTAAATAAGTATTGAATCGACTTAACAAACTATTGAAGTTTCGATAGTCTGAATTTTCAATTAGTGTTGCCAAAAGCTTGCCACTTTTGGCTTCCTTCGCCCTTCACTCCCGAAAATACAGCTTATATTTTGAGATACTGACCATGTATTCTCCATTCATCTGCAACAATCGTTGCCATTGTCAAAACACCGGTGCTACATATATTTTGGATGTATTAGGCAGTGACGGAAAACAGCTGGATTTTAGCAGTGCATTAATTCCACAGAATTACTTTCAGAATTTACTTTTATATAACGATTGAAAACATATGCATAAATAACTGTTTAAAAAACAATTCTATATACTGTAATGAACAAACTTATTTACTAAAATCTATTAACTTGCAGTTATATTAGTTAAACTTTGTAACTATATTCCCGTGCGGAGTATGTATTTTGGCATACGTCATCAGGCACACTTCACCGTAATTGAAATTTCGATTGTCTGATTTTTGGTAAATGTTGCAAGATAAATGGAATACATGGTCATTGTCACAAAACAGTGATTCGTCAGTAATACAGCTTATACTTCAAGAAACTGATAATGTTTTCTTTGAAAAATTGCAGTTTTAACATTATTAGGCTTAGCGTCTTAATGATTCAACTACGACTTCAACAAGACTACGAAACAGAAAACGAAAACAACACTTCAGCAATTTGTACAGCGAATTCCGCTCGAGTTGTCACCTATACACTAAACAGTGTCAGAAATAAGCCAACAAGCTTCACAATAGTCCCAGTCAACACCCACTACAAGAAGATTTAACATTCTACATTGAATATAATTATTGTTCATTCATGTGAAATGGGGTAACGACACAGTTTATTTTGGTACATAACACAGAAGATGCTATCTCGACCTACACTTCTATGAACACACGAGGAGAGGATTTGGTGTAAGTCGTTTTACCATTTCCCCATCAATTGTGGCAGGTGTTCTTTAGTCTACTATGAACAGAATGTATGAGTTTGTATATTAAATTGAAACTATTCTAAAAGTGGGTCGTGTACCATTAAGGACGACCTAATTCCAAAGGTATGTTAACAATATCCGGAGTAAATCTTACGATATCGTTATCTACAGCGACCACCTGTGCATTCATGAGTTTTCTTCAGCATATGCATACCTGTCTATCGCGAACCCAGTACATAACTTTTTTTTTCAGAATATAACACCTGCCTATAGCTACCCCAGTACATAACATTTTTAGTCTGTAACATTTGTCTATAGCGACCGACTGTCCATCACAATTAATTGTAAGTCATGTTTTCTACCACCGTGTACAGTCAATGTCATTTTGAGATTAGGCATCATTGTAATATATGGTAGTGTTTTCATGGAACACCACATAGGAGGTCCGTCGCATATCATTAAAGAATGGTATTACTTGATCTGGGACGGGGCACCACCACGATTACTCCGTGATCTCCCAGACAAGCACAGATCGTCCAGTTAAGAAACAGAAGCACATGCCTCTGATCTTCATCGCAGGTTGGAAGCCGTGACCCTCATATAGCTATTTATTTGGCGAGTTGTCTGTAAATTCTTACAACTGCATGATAAACTATCTGGTCTATTATACATTCACAAGTAGCCAGATATTTCAATTTACAATGTTTTTCTTATATAATCAGGCGCAGAAAATTTTGAAAATACATTTTTGAATGGAAAATCAAGAACCACACCAAAACATTGGAAACATTAGAAACTTAAGATACATGTTAAGGGTCTGAAATGGATTGAACGTGAATGTCGACGTGTGTTTCGACAGGCTGCAGAACTCATATCTTCTAAAGAATCCTTATCCCCTAAACAGTGTCCATTTTAATCACGTGTACATTGTCATATCTCCTTCAAAGTACGGGATATATATCCTATTACGATTCCTGATGTCCACGGTGACCATGACCTGGAGAGTTTAAAATCCTATAACATGACCAACGCGGAGATTCATTTGGCAATTGATAACCAGAGATACACTTGTATAATCACGCTGAAATCTTATTTGGTGGCAAAGAATTTCGTCTTTAGAAAAAAAAAACAACCCGGCAGAAATGGTGTCGTTTTACAAATTATTCCCACTAGGAATTCATTAATACAATCTATTGGGAATAAATATTCAGGTAAATATTTTACAACAGAAATTAAATAACAAAATGCTTACAGCAACGCTTTTCCCCATTCATACACAATACAGTGATCAATGCATATTCCGACCCGTCGACTTATAAACATACCGTTGTTCTTATAGGTACAGACACACTTTGTATATTACGTCCAGTCTAATCTCTCGGGGTTTCGGATTAAACAGGCTGTGAACCCTATTGAAAACGAGTCACGAATATATATATATATATATATTTATTGTACAAATTCACAACTATTGCACGAAAAATGAGCTCTCATTGTACCGTATTTTCCCTGTAATTAATTTAGAAATTGCTATTGAGTTTTTTTCACTATCTTTAAGGATTGAAAATACAATGCACTATGAACTGGAAAAAATACCCCATTTCATGACTTTTCTGAAAAGGCATTGTTTTGTTTGTGCTGCGCGCATTTGTCAAACCGAGATCTGAACCATGTTGACCGAAGCCTAAACCGTCTTGTATTTTTTTTTTTTTTCTTTATTGTTTTTTTTTTTTTTTTTTCTTTATCTTCTTTCGTCAGTTCTTGCTCTTAATTATGTGCATTTTGAAGATTCTTCTGAAGAAGGAGTGACAATAACATCAGCTGTCGAGTAAATCCAAGATGGTCGCGTGTCGGCCATTTTGTGTTTCTAATAATTTCTAAAATGGACAAAGCACAACTAGTCACGGGCAAAGTGGAACCTACAAATGAAAACTCTATCCACTGATTCTAAAGAAATGGCGATGGCTTGCATTTTTTCAAAATCCAAGATGGCCACATTTCAGCCACTTTCCAAATCAGTCTCAAAATTAAAGGGTGATAATAGTTACCAATATGAACCTGCATATCGTATTTGGGAAACATTAACCCAATACCTCTAAAAATATCCAAAACAAACATCTTAAAGTCAAAATCCAAGATGGCCACCATGCGGATTGTTCGTTTTCCAGTCAGTCTCCAAATTGTATGGGCAACTCCGAGGACACAAATGAATAAATACATGAGATTTGAGAAAGATCCATGGAGTGCTTTTCAAGAAATAACGATAACAAACTTTAATTTGTTAAAAGTCAAGATGGACGCCTTTCAGCTATTTTATTTTTTTTATAAGTCCCAAAATTAAACGGGCACAACTAGGGACCAAGAGCAAGCTTCATCCGAAATTTGAGAAAGATCCACTCTGGAATTATCAGGTCATAACAAGACTGTTTAAGGACTCGTGCCGGACGGCCAACGGACGAACGTCGGACCACCGACGCACGGCGACTTAAACAACCATCGTCTGAGATGGTGATCAACGCTAAGTGTCCATCCCATTCAAACAAAAAGCACGGTTGAATGAACTCGACACCGAACCGATCGACCGTGAACTTCGTTAAGATATATTGACTTGGTGAATGATTCGTCTGCCAGGTATAGTTGATGAATGTTTTGTTGACATTTATGTGCTTACTGAT